AGGAGCTGGTTATGGCGAATCTGCCTCTCGATCCGAGACACGCGATGCGTATGGAGGTTCGACCTAAACTGACTTCCTCCCAATTACTTACCGCTAACCCTACCAGGCGCTCCCGATCGTAACATTCAGTAAGCGCATGACTGATGTTTGCCACGGCTCGACTGAAAGATCAGTCTTTGAGATCATGCGTCCATTATCCTTTCCTCTACTAACCCCGTAACTTTGCTTGTTCAATTTTCTTCTGTTAACTGTTATTTACTCGTTGTTTTCTTATCTTTCATGGACCACAGCAGACTGAATCGGGCTCTGCTCACACAGGAGTTTAGTGTGATTGCGACAGTTAAGGGATTGGAATCAAAAAATGGGTACTCGGCCTGCGTCACTTGAGTTTTCTTGTTGCTGGTCGTCGGTTTTGCAACAAGGTCACAGATGGACCACGTTTGGCAGCTTCCGGATCTTTGCAAATCAAACACTTCATCAGTCATCCATCGCGTCTTCGACGACTTTATGATAGCTATTGCCAGCACAACATCAACAAGATGTCGACTCCGGCCTAATCGGTGAATCACATGGACTATCAAACTCAACTTCGAATGCGGCCTCGCGACTCAACTGCCCGTGCTGTTCTCGTATCACATACACACTATTATGGGATATGCGAGATGGTCACTTGTGGCTGCTGCGCTGCTCTGCTCGTCCTGACTGACTTTAGTTATTGACTCAAACGCCTGTAAATGTTTCACCCACCGCCAATCAAATCACACATCGCTGTAAAACAACTTGACACCCCCTTCAACTCTGACAATCAATCAATGAAAACCGCCATCGCTAGGCTTACGCGTGGGGTTTATAATGTTTCTCGGCTTTCAGCGATTCGGTACACGAAGTTCTCTCAATCACCGTCTTCTCGCCAAGCTCTTCCAACATACCCCTGGGATTATGATTCTGCAAGCTTATCACCAACATCCGGTCTAATTCTTGCAAAACTACAGGACTGGACCCGTGTACTGGTAAGGACTGCAAGTTGTGATCCTGCTGACTGAATGGTAGGGTGATCCCCAAACTGGATGTATTCAAGCACCGGACAACTGCCGATGATTTCGCAGCCACAAGTCCAAACAGTGAGTTGGGCCAATGCTCCTTTAAGGACCGACTCAAACAAGAGTTGCAGCCGTGCGGAAATGCTATTTCAATTTCCCTATCACTCAATGGGGATTGCAAAGGAGCATCCAGCGATGCATGCCTTTAACAGTGCGTTGTATTCATTCCAAGAACATCGAGAAAACGGCTGCAATGAATAGTTGCCATAGAAGCAGTCTCTCAACTAGTTTCAGTTTATCACTCTGCAAATATTTGTGTTATCGAACTTCTACCCTTGATGCGCCTGACGTCTCCGCGCTTATTCAGCTCGGTATTTTGACCTGTCGGTCACACTTTCGGAACAGTTATAGCTTCGTATCATATGTGTAAGTAGGGACGATATGGAGATGATTCCATCAACTCAACTCATATTGAGGACCCGGGCCGCCTGCATCCTTTGCATGGCCATTGAAAAATGTAAACAACTTTGATGGCCAGTCGATTGCATTTGGTGACCTATCGTTTCCACAGAGCCCAACCTGCTATTTCAAGGCTGCTTCCTCGCCCTCTGATAAATGGTCCCCAATGAGGCACACGTCTGGTTACTGCTGGCCACTTGTAGGTCGATTTGGATTTGCTCCAAGCAGCCACCCCACACCAGATACCAGTGTACCAGTCGCAGCCTCTCTTAGCTGATCCCTCTTCCTTGTTCTGTTCTGCTCATGCAACTCGTACTCAGAGGACTCGGACTCTGCATTCGTCTTATCTGATGTAAAAGAACCCTGCAAACTTGACAACACAGTTAGGTTCCTGGACGCGACCCTGGCTGTGGCTCTGGAGAGATCGAAGAGAGACATTGGTGCTTCCTCGGCTTGACGAGCTGTCGTGCTGGCAGATATATTGCGGGGTGGATAAGCCTTGTCTGGACCTGGTGTATCGAACGAGCCAGGGAGACCCGAAAGGTCACCTGCGGTATCCCAGGCAGCTTCTCGAGCAGCCTCCTCCTTGATTGCAGCATCCAACTGCTCTTCGCAACGACGGAAGGTCTTTAATACTTCCTGAAGTTGAAACGAGGGTGCTATCCGTAGAGAAGTTGCCAGGCATTCAATCCGCTGCTCGAGATGGCGTATCTCAGGATTTCCACTTGCCGTTCCGAGATGCGTTGGCTTCTGGGATCTCTCCGTGCGGACATATTTGCCAGCGCCAAGTGCTGCCTTCCACGACCATTCGTCAGATATGCCTGCCTGCGACTTATGCACGTTCTCATCGGCACCAAGACGGGTTACTACGTAAGAGTATGCAGTTTCGAAGTCGTCTTCGCGCAAAGCAGCTTCGACGCACATGGCAACGATTCGTTTTGTGACTAATGGTCTGACCGCGTCTTGATGCTCTGCTAGCGGCTGCTGCTTTCCTGGCCTCACGCAAATTGGCAGATTCGCATCAGTCATGTTGTTTCCTAGTTCCTCAAACTCTTGCAAACGTGTGTATGCTTTGGGATTTTGTTCTAGAACCTTCTCGATAATCGAGACCGGATCAGAATGCACTCGAAGTACGACAGGACTGAAAGGTTCGCCTTGTTTGAGTACCAGGCGATAGTCGCTCAAGGCATGAGTAGCCTTCAACAATGCTTCGATGCGTTTTCTGGCGGGATGATTTGTACCTAACGTTCTCGGAAAAGCTTTGAGGCTGATTTGGTTGTCAACAGTGGCGCCCCGAGGACATAACAGCTGACTTACATTTCGTCGCATCTTTTCAGTCCCCCTCTATTTCGGTTTGGATTTGAAGCATTGTCGAATGCCCCAAGAGCTGCGTTTTGTGCAGTGTTTAGCACGGCAGATACCGACAGAGGCGCATCTGGCCCTTCTTGATCGTAAAGGGTTCTTGCTAGGTTGTATCCTAAGACGTGTCAGGCGTAACTTGGCCATATGGACATACTCATTATACATACGTGAGCGCGAAAGCATCGCTTTCAAAAACTCTGTCTCAACGAACTCCAGGGTCACATTGCCAAATATGCCCTGCAGAGTTTGGTCCCCAGTGGACTTCGGACTGTTTCCCCAACCGTGCAGCCATAGTATCTCTTTTCGTGCCCGGATCCAGAAACCGTCGTCTTCAGATGCACGAGTTGGAAGATTTCGTATAAGCCGGCCAATTTGCGATTTTTGTTCCTGCTGATCCTGAATAAATGCTAGATCCCCAGCTTTACGAACTGTGCAGGGGGCGCCCGATTGTGTAAGAAGATAAGCGCTTTGAATGAGAGCAGGGAGAAGATCAAGAGATTCCTCCTTTGGGGTTGTAAGCGGATTTGAGCTTTGTAATAGGTCGTTACGTAGGTTTGTCGCAGCTTTGGCCCCCCCAAATGCGTCCATATCGAAAGGCGGAACAGAGGCAAGATTTTCTAATGCTGATTGAAGTGTTGTATCGGAGTCTTCGTCCAAGAGGGACCGAATCTTATTGCATATTCTGAAGGCTGCCTCCAAAGCCCCCACGTCGGCATCAGAGACAAGATATGCAGAAGCTAAGACGGCTCTGGCATAAGAGCCGTCGAGATACTGCTGCTGGTTTTCCTGAAGCCACGAGCCCGCATCATTTCCCAGGTCCGTATCAGATGGCCCATCCCAGGATTCAATGGCTTTGAGAGCGACTGGCCAGGATGTTGCCGCTTTAGAGGCGAGCCATTCGAGGGCCTGCTCCCAGCCAGGACACGATAATTCAGGCGCTGCATCTGTTTTATTTGATACATCTTGGTCAAAGGCCTCGCGTTTCCACCTCGATTCGTTATGCAGCCAAGGCCCAACAAGCCCACTCAGATCACGGCCAGCTAGGCTAAACTCATCATCGACGGCACCTGTCTCAGCAAGTAGATAGTCGATAGCCATTCTGTCAGGTAGGTTCTGGAACTCTAGCAGCGAATACCGTATAGGTCTTTGTGGATAATACTCGTAGTTTCGTCTGACTAGAGGGAGTACCGTTGAGATCATCCACGTGTGGAGTTCTTGCGAATGCTGCAGAAATGGGGTTACCAGGTCAGGAACTTGCGGTAACATGCCTGCTTCTTCGTCCATTCTGTAAGCTCTCAAAAATAAGAAAGAGGTGAGTGGATCAGCCTCAAGAGTGAGAGGCACATCAGTATTTTTGAGACAGAGAAGATGAAGTTTTTTGACTTTTCTTGAAGCCTGTTCTTCTGTTATACTTTGAACAGAAGAAGTGTCGAGCTGGAAGTCTGAATTTGCCTGTGATGGCGACTCGCCGCTTACTATGGCTTGTATGAGAGGTACATACACCGCCGGACTGAGGGTTTCGGGAAGATATGTGAGAATGATTCGGAGTAACAGCTCTGGCCGTAGTATTACTCCATGTTGACCAATGAGATAGGCCAAACCATCGATGTCGGCGACGGTTGCGAAGTGTACAGCCAAGAGCACCAGCTTTGCAGGACCCAGCGTGACATGAGCCGCCATGATGATGATGATGACGATAGCGATCCCAGTCGGATGATAGAGTCAATGAGAGCATAAGTGGTAGTGAAGCTTTTAGGAATACTTTCACTTTGGGATTGGAAAAGGAGAGGTCATATGTTGCTTAGCCAGGCCAGCTTCAACTAACAAAGTGGCAGGTTACCTTCGCACCTCTGTACTGAACAGTAAGTACCCTAGGTTGATTTGGGTAGCCACAGCCACACATAACACGCCACACATGCATGAGCATCTGTGGCGGCTCAAGCGTTATTTTCAGTGAGCCAATAGGATCCACTTCACCATCCAATCCACGGGCACCGATTTGCTAGGTACTCGGCCAAGGTACGGGTCAATTCAAGGGCCGGAAGCACTTCACGATTACAACGTCAAACGAACCGCGATTCAACCATCAGATACTGCCCGACCCGCGCAAAGCCTCGACACTTACTCAATTGGCTCAAGATGGCGTCGGGATACGGCATGAACGGCGGTAAGTCTATAAAGGGAGCTTCCACGCCCACATACAACCAGTTAAACATTCCATGGACTGACGACATCTACTTGGACTCTAGGCGTTGGCCGCTGCTTTCCCTTCTGGCAGGAGGTTATGGGATGCTATGTGGTCAACACCACTGCCGCTGATGACTCTGGCAAGAAGAAGTGCGGCCTGGTTCTCGAAGACTACTACGAGTGCCTCCACCACAAGAAGGAGGTAGGTTGAAGCATGCAGATTCGGCGCTGCTTTCGGCCTAGTAGTACAGTGAATTAACAACAATCGATAGCATGCTCGAGCTCTCGCTATGCAAGCTGCCTACGCCCGAAGCGAGTCCGCTACAGCGCGCGATGATGCGCCCAGCGTTAAACAAATAAGGAGTCTAGGACTCATCGACAAGGAGGAAGACACGAAGAAGGTGCTAGGACAAAGCTAGACGACGGATGGATCTGGAAATACTCAAATGAATGATACTCGAATGCTATTTATGCTAGCCGGATTATCTGTATCGCTCTGCTACACATGAAGGAATAAACCTTGGTTTCGCTCAAGCTGCAAATCGTGACAACGCAAACCAGCTGGAACTTTTGACAAGCTATCAATGGTAGGACTGCCAGTTCCTTAGATAGGAAACAGCTATTCAATAATCCACCTTGGGAAAATTCTACTGCAGTACCACCAAGCAGGTTAACATTGTGCTCAGAATCTTGTTGACATATGCAGCCATGTGATATAAATCGGGCCAAGGGCGAGCCTGATTGAAATTGGTCCATCGTAGTATGTCCTAGTCCAAGGGCAGTAGAAATCAAGCAAGGCACAAGCGGCAGGGAGGGAAGGCTGCGTACCTAAGGTAGGTTAGTAGGTAACCGGTCATATTTGCCAGCCGACAACAGCTGGCCGCCAGTCCCCCCTAATGCCTCCCATTAACAATCTCCAAGCAGCCCGGATCTCCTTACACTCAGTGAGCGTATGATGTGACTTAATTTGTGACAGGCCGTCCCTCAAGACCTTCTTTCATCTTCGTCTGTAAACAGCCTTCTCGGGATTGCTGAGCATCTGCAACATGCCTTCTCTTGAGGGAATTGAAGTTGCGATCGTCACTCAGCCCGAACTGGCCAAGCTCCCTGAGTTTCCTCTCTCGGATTCCTCCTCTCACAGTGTTTTGCCCTCTGCTGATCAACTGTCTTGCTTAAGTCTCGCTGCCTCGAGCCGATTTGGTTCATTGCCTCGCCAACTTCGGAAGACCAGTCCTCGGGTTTCTGTCTACGTCCCCTCAGACCCAGGTTTGCCTTTTCTAAACCAAAGCTTCCAACGAGCCCTATCTGACTGGGTTTAGGTTCACGATTTGGATTCCACTATGCACTCAACGAAACGTCGCAACTGCCACGCTACTTGTATTTCAAAATTTTCATGAATGGCAGAAACATCACAAACTGTGGCGTGAGGGCTCTCAATGGAGCTTCAGGTTCCATCACACGTTCCCTCTGTGAGCCAAGCGAGCGCTGGAAATACAAGGAAGATGGCGTGTTACGCATCAGGGACGGGATAGAGGCACGTTGCTTCTCCTTTCTTCCACACGCCCATCAATCAGTTGCAGAAGATGGCGGCTTGATAGAGGTCCAAGTCTTTCGTGCCAAGGGCCGAATTCGAAGATTGCCCATACTAGAAGGCCACCGCGGTCAGGAGTCATACGGTATTGGGTTGGTGTGCCTTGCATGGATGTTCAGTGACGCCAGGCTAATAAGTCGCAGGTCGCCCTCTGGTGGTCTCCTCGATTCACCAGATGAAGCCTGTTTCTACGATTGGATCCTAATCGATTCAAAAGAGTCACCTTTCGTCTCTTTCCGTTTTCTCTATCGATCGTTACTAAATCTGCGCCAACTGAGCCTCGCACCAGATCCTGAGTTGGACGACAGTTCAGTCGATATGGAAGAGGACATGGCTGAGCACGCGAGCGAAGGGGTTTGTTCCATCAAGCCACTCCGTACTGGTAATATCTGTACAGAGAGTCCAAGAAGCTCCGTATTGGATGATGTTCTGTCAGTCCAGGGGGGGGGCCGTTCGTCAACACGTCCCAGACGATTGACCGAAGCAGCCCCTATGATTGCATCACAGAAAGCCTTAGCTCGTCCTCTCCCCGAGGTTCCGATCAAGAAGCCCGTAGACCATAGGGACATTGAAAAGCAGGTCGAGGCCCATGAATACACTTCTCTATCGGACATTCAAGAGGAGATAGAGAATACTGATACCAGCATAGCCAGTACTACCAGCTTCCTAGGCATATCCGATTCCCCTCGCAGTGTCAAAGCGAGAGTCCTCGAATTGAACGATTGCGGTATAATGCCGCTTCAGTCAGCTCTCAAGAGAGACACTAGCTCGACCATCCTCGAATCACTTGTGAACTACTCAGAACAACCTGCCCCGGGACAAGCCCGTCCGTTGTCGACATCGACATCGACGGGGAAGATGGGATACCTAGAGACAGGTGAGCCTGAGCAAACATCGGAAATGAAGTCGATTGTTGCGGAAACAGAACACTCATTCAGGACTGGTTGGAGGCTGAGTGAGAGCGAGTGGATCAAGGGGGAGGTTTGAGCGCACAAATGGCAACGGGGCAGAGTTTGTAACCCAAAGTTGTTTGATTGTGGTCTCGCAGAAGATTGCTTAATGGATGTGTGCTAACGATGGGACCTGCAAGAGAAGTGTATGTAGACCCGATTACCTACCTACCGAGGTACCTTATCTAGTGGACGTACAATGTATAAATTTTGCGCCTACCCAACGATAGACGAAATAGGTACCTACCTTAAGGGATGGCGAGGGACTGTGAATAATAGCGGTGACGTTTGTGCCTATACCCGTATACCGAGTTTGTTGTTCTCGAGGTTAAATGACTGTCACCGACATTGGCAGTGACAGCCAGTAGCAGATAGGTACCACCTTACCTTAGGTCCTGCTTGCTAACCTTACCTTTGATCAGTATCAGTCACTCAGGCTGCCAGAGTAAATATTGTAGTATCCTCATCGACACTTCATACCTGGCAGAAAAACACCAAAACAAATGCAACGCATCATGGCGGACCAAAGCTGGCTGCGGTTTCTTGGGGGCAACAGAGCTCGACAGCACGATCTGAAGTACCGTCGCTCCGAAGCAGCCCTACAAGACTTGTACAAAGATCCTCCCAGAAGCAAAGAAGTGCATGGCCACCGCGTGAAGAAGAGCATGACACGGCTCCCTAGCTGGCAAGGAGTATCTCAGGCAAACCAGGCGACTACCACGGCGGCCGAGGCGAAATACAGTTTGGACGAAGTGGACAAGTTGTTCATCAATGCAAGCCAGCAGATCTGGCACAACCCTTCCATTGACCAAGTAGCAGAAACCTTGCAAGTTGCAGTAATGTCCAATCCTGCAAGCGAAGCACTTTCCGCAGAGTATCGCTCGCATATCCTGCTCCTTTGCGAAGCTTATGGTACTCGACACAGAAAGATTGCCAAGCTCGAACGAGAGCTTGCAGAAGCAAAAATGGCACTCAAGGAAGAGGCAAGTCGACACAGCTCCATAGAAGAACACTGGATGGTTCAGGATGCACGGTACAAAGCTGAGGTCAAACGCCTTGAGATGTTTATTCATCGAACGTCTGATCAAGGCATGGAGGCTGTGGCACTCGCCAGGGCCGGTAGTCTCCTCAGGGGAAGAGCTGGAACTGCTACAAGCGGGCAAAGGGCCATCAACAGTGACGTAGTCAACGAGGGCACTTCGAATGGAGGTAAGTATGTCCAACCGCGAAGCACTTGACCACACTGACATATGACGTAAAACAGCCCCTGAATTCACTGTCAAGAACGAGCGTAATCCCACCTTACTAACACGACAAGATACAGTGTGTAAGTGTTCATGCTCATTTCCAGACTTGTTTAGTATCCGGTCCATACTAACATCTTATGAGCAGTATCTCGAACACGGACCATGGATACCAGCAACGAGATCAGGTTGAGCAGAGGGTTCCGGGTCCAGGATCGCCTCAAGAAGAAGAAAGTAACAGCCGGCGTTCGCCGACTTGAGACACATGCAGACAGAGATGGAAAGACACGCCCTGAGCAAGGCCGAGAAGAAATGCATCCACGAAGTGCTTCTATGCTCTCAATTGGTCCCGATGGACGAGGCACAGCAGACATGTCGCCACACAAAGGTAGTGCCAGGAGGGAGCGCGATGCTTCCGAAGAGGCAGCATCAATGGAGGAGGTTGGCATTGTTAGCCGGACAAACTCTACATCCACATCTCTCACACAAAACCAGTCAAGCCAGGATACGGTTACTGAGCTCCGGTGCGATCGAAGAAGCCACCAAATTGACTCTCGACATCATCGTCAATTCTCGTTTGTTCCTGGGGACGATATAACAGCTGTACGGTCGGGCGGGCCCAGATGGTCTGGAAAGGCTCTTGGTCAACATATACAGAAGAGTCTGGCACCGACGACTAGTAGAGAGACTGTTCGTTTCTGTGAAGAGAATCGTAGGTCGTGATCGGCCGAGTGGATACGGATGATAGAGCAGCGGCCATCGGACATTGACGACAACCCCGGAGCGTCAGTCCTGCGACTCTAGCCACTTCAGAAGATAAGCCAGCCTTCAGACCTCAGTGCCGTTTCTCATATCGAGCCTGGAGGTGATTGACCAATTCCTCAAAAGGTTCTTTTGTCAGTAGCATGTGGAGCCTTGGACATAGGGCAATTAGAGTTTTGCATTATATCAACGGCGAAAGTTTATACGAGGGTGGAGGCGGATGGAGTTTGTTGCAAGACAGCGTGGGGTGTTGAGAATAACACACGATGAGAGAGGTCCCACCGGGCGAGGGCCAATAACTCTGCTCAACTCGGCGTGATGCATGATGCAAGCGATAGGCCCGGAGCGGAAGGATATTCGAATGACCGAGAGGCGTCGCATCGACGAGGCTCAAGACTCGACGGAAAAAGCATAGTATGTGACGACGGATGTGACACGGGTGAGGTGGGCTTGACGGACATGACGGGCGACACGGGATCTAGCCCTAGAAGACAAAGGCAACGAGCAAACAAACGAGCAGTTGTGGTAAAACCTGGAGAAGACTAGACAAGCTAACAAGCCCGGAGCAGCCTGTCAAGTCAAGGCAAAGACGCCGGTGCCGAACCTTGTATCGAGTTCAAGACTCTGTGAATTTGACAAATTAAGGTTAAAAGACTTTGGAACCGCTCAGAGTGGCGCTCGTGACAGGAATGCCAATACAACGCCTGCTGAATCGAGCCATGCTTCATCGATAGTGTAAGGAATGTGACTGTCGCTAAATCAAGGAACCATCAACGGGACGGGTAAGGCAGACGAAGCGTCTATCAGTCTGTCTCCTCAGCGACAGCATGGCATGCGACTAGACCATGGCATGCGACTAGACCAGGGCATGC